GTTATAGCCTAACATATTATTGTATTTACGGAGGTTAAAACAAACATAAAACATCCGAAAGCTATTTCAGTAAAAGTGAGTCGGGAGAAAGGAAGGGGGAGGGCCCACAGTCCAATCTTGCATAGCCCCCCACTCCGCCCCCGGGTGAAACCGGTGGCTGGGCCCATGAATGTTGAGCACCGTGCCTCTCAACATTCACCGTCGACACAAACGCAGCACGTTGACAACAACGACGACAACAGCGACAACAAATGTGCAAATGAAGCCCGCTGATCAACTCCTCGGAACACACACACACACACGCACACACACGCACACACACACGCACGTACACACGCACACACGCACATACACGCACACACGCACACCATAGTTCCATAGTTCCATTTATTTGGTATAGCCCTGTGAGCCATTCGGCTCTTGAATCGGGTGCAACCGCAACAAACAAAAAACATGAACAAGAAAACATCTTAAAGTGATTATGTGTGACTGTGCAAACAGAAAATCCAGGAAAAAAAACATCAAAATATTCCTGAAATAGCACCGTACACCAACGCTGTGTGCAAAAATCCCAGTGGGATGCAAGTCAAACAACAACAACAACAACCACAAGAAAACTTAGATTAAGGCCATCAGTCTAACTCCGTACTACAATAAAGAAAAACATGGCCAAACCAAAAAAACGTTTTCGAAATCACCAAAATAAAAGCCATAAATGCAATGTAACAGTGATCATAGGGACTGTGACCGAATTTTTAACAATAAACTACATAAATAAATTATAACACCAAACCCTAGAGCCATATTTTAGGCCACTGAATAGCAGTGGCAGCTAGGGGTGGACAACTCCTCTAGAGCAGTTTTGAGTGAAGATTTCATAGGTAGTGATTCAACTTGCAGTTTATTGGCAATAGCATTCCAGACCCTGGGGGCATCAATAGCAAAGGCCCTTCCTCCAGTTTTTGTACGGCAATAGGGAATGTGAAGCTGGTAAATGAGCGAAGACCTGAGGTCAAATTTGTTCTTTGAAACAGAGAGGAGATCCAGTAGGTAGTCTGCGGATTTTTTTGTAAGTACATCGTGAATAAATAAGATATGGTGCACAAGCCGTCGAACATTAAGAGATGTTAAGTTTGACCCAATGTAGAGATCACAGTGGTGAGTCCTATATGGGCAGTTCAATGCAAATCTTAAGGCCGAGTGATAGATGGAATCAAGCTTCTTCAGTACAGTACTTGGGGATGATTTATACACGATGTCACAGTAGTCAAGTAGAGGCAGTATGGTATCTTTTATCAATTCCAAACGGAACATTGGGGGGAAGCAGTGCTTGTGTCGATACAGAAAACCAATTTTTATTTTTGTCTTTTTACCAATATAATCAATGTGATCTTCAAAATTCAGTTTTGAATCCAGGATGACCCCAAGATACTTATAGATCTTGACTTGCTCTATTTGATAATTATTCAAGGAATGTAATTGGGGAAAAATAACTTCCTGCTTTAGTCCCGGTGAGAAGCATAGCATCTTGGTTTTGGAGGTACACACACACACGCACACACCTACGCACGTGCACAGCGCCACGGACGCGACGCAGAAACCACAAGAGCCGCGCTTCTGATTCTCAACGGAGACAAATTTTCTGCGCGTGGAGATCTTCGGCGATGCCAATTTCATCGGCTGTTGCGTAACTGTCGGCCAAGCCAGCTCGGGCCAGCCTTGAGGTGTTTTCCATCACCGTCTGCAGGGCTTCCCCTTGACGTGCCCGACCGCGTACGCGAGGACCCGTAGTCGATTTTTTTTATGTTGGGGTTCGGTCGCGTAGTAGCAGTTTTAATAATAAATATTAACAATAACAATCATAGTAATAGGGTTTTACCCTTTTAGCTGGCACAAAAACTGACACCTTTATACAAGGGATCATGTTTGCAATAACCAAGGAGGTCTCATAATGTAAAGGCTTACCACCGAGCTCTCAGTACTCTGATAGTGCGCTGTTTTTGAGGTGTACGCTTTATGGTGTCATCTGGTCCAACACCAGTGGAGACTAGGCTCTAAGAAAAGCCGTCTCGGGTCGTGGATCAATCAAATTCAAGGACAGTGCATATCATTATCAGAGTTGTCTTTTTTTGTTTGCATTTTGACTGCTTTTGTTGTGGTTATTGCAAACATGATCCCTTTTATAAAGGTGTCAGTTTTTTGTGCCAGCTAAAAGGGTAAAAACCTATTATTGTATATTTTTACTGGCAAAGGAGGTCTCATAAAATAACAATCATTTTTAATCTACATATATAGCGCCTTGCGTTGAAAGAGGAGCGCAAATGGCTGCACAGGATTGTTGAAAATAAAATTCGGGGTCAACGGAGCGCACCTCGTCCTGAGCGAGCTGGGGGGGCGGGGGGAGGGGTCGATTCGCCCGTCTCACTGGTAAACCGGTAACCCGAAAACCGGAACCGCCCCCCCCCCGCCGTCCACTCTGCACACGCGGCTCAACTCCACCGCAGGTAGCCTCAACACCTCCTTGGCACGTGACGAGCGTCACGTGACGATAAGCGGCTAAGTCGCTTCTACAAAACAAATAGCGGATCGCTCGGTGGGCTTTTACCTGGTAAATAAAAATGTAAAAAAAAACATTTTTGTAATTTGTTTACCTTTCTTATACTTTGCACTCCAATCGTGTTTTTTTTTGTAACGTTCTGACCCGCCTCTTACTGGACACCTGTGAAAAAGAGCTTTATAGCTCATCGTATTCCACCAGTATGAAACAATAATTCTGATTCTGATAACTTACCCTATCCTGCCATGCAGGGAGAGATACCAACGTTGACCTCTATGGGATAAAACATTCACGGAACGTCGAACGTTTTACACGTTTGGTTCTCCATTTTTAATTTTATTTTGTTCGACGTTTCGAGCGACGAGAGAACTTTATTATATCCAGTACCTCTTGTGAGTTTGTACGAAAAACCACCGTGATTAAATCGACCGTGATGCGCCTGATCTCGTCAGATCTCGGAAACTAAGCCGATTTGATCCTGGATAGGGTAAGGATGGGGCGACCAAGGCAGCAGAGTACCATGCAGCAATATTCACTGTCGTTCCGCACTACTTGCCAACTCTCATCATCCCCGCACCGACCAGCACGGTGAAGTATGGACAAATATCCTCCACGGCCCGCAAGGTGCGGAGAGGGGGGGGGGGCGGGGCGTGGGTGGGACAACTGTGAACAAGAGCTGTGTAGCTCATCGGATTCCTCCAAGTATAAATCAATAATTCTGATTCTGATATGAACGGACTGCACGGAGAATGTGCAAGCCACGTGCCCTTCTCGTGCTCTGCAGTGCAAGCCGCTCATGAGTGTATGTATGCACTGTATGTTAACCTTTTCTTTACCGTACGTAGCCAACCGTGCTGATCAGAGGTGCGGCAGAAGGACGACAAACTAGACACACGAAGCAGTTCTAAAAAAAACGAGTCTTCAATCTAGACGGTGATTTAAAAAGTGCAGAGCTCCCAATGGCTTCCTTATATCGGAAAGTAAGAGCGTTCCAGACGGCCGCAGAAGCGCACCTGTAAAGCGCGAGCGATGCGGCGACACGCCACCTCTGCGCGACAACACAATTTGTATTTGACCTCAATAGTGAGTGTGCTTGGCACTGCGGTGGCAGAGGGGGGGGGGGGGGGGGGGAAGGCTTTTAGTGATTTCAGTTGATGCCCACGTGTTGGTAGGCAATGCCACGGACTGTAATGAGGGCGCACCGTCTGCTGCTGCTGCTGTGGGGAGAGAGACAGAGGGCATCAATGCCCCTGTGACGCCGGGTGGGTAGCGGAGTGACCCAATTTTTTCCCCCTCTCATTTCGCTGGCGTGAGCCAAATGAAAAAAAAGAGGTTTGCTTCTCAAATGAGCATCGAGCCAGGGGGGGGGGGGGGTGGGGGTGGTTCGTTGCTTGTTTACAGCGCGATGGGCCAGCGGTCGACATTCCACATTACTATTGCAGAGACAAGTCTATCCATGTTGACTTCCCCACAAAGTGGCATTAATTTTACCGACACAAGGCAGAAGATGGGCTGAGTCAACCCGCAAACCCTCCCACCCCCGCCTCCTCCAACCAGGAATTGATCTCGTGACCTTCCGAGCCGCTGACTCTGTCGCCAAACTTCACGATGAACTTCACAACATTTACAGCCCTTCATCAATCCACTGCTGGATGAAGGGTCCACCTCCATACCGTGTTGGTCAAGGGCCGTGTTGGTCAAGAGCCGTGTTGGTCTCTCTGTTCCATATTTTATATTTTATATGGAACAAAGACAGTGACTCAGAGGCGTGGGGAGGAGCCATAGACACACGCGAATGTAGTCAGGTGGTGAGGCGTTAACTCCCTCGCCTGGTATGCAGGAGGTCGTGGATTCGATTCCGACCCTGACGCCTGCTGCTGTATATTTGGAGTTTGCGTCTCTCTCTCTCCCCATGGTCGCGTGGATTTTCTCCGGGTCCTCCGATTTTTTTTCCTCCACATTTAAAATCAACATCACGCGTTCAGAGTATTTGGTTGCTGCTATAAATGTCCACGTGATAAGCCACCTTGTTGAGTTATCATTTGTGACCAGGTCGCTTCTGAAAAAGAGCTACATAGCTCAGTGGGGCCTGACCTGGTACAATAAAAAAAAATAGTTTAGTTCATAGAGGTAGCTCCAACGATTGCCCAAGTTCTTCCATCCTCTATACAGCATATACAAACGCGTTAGCGGCCAATTGCAAGTGGGAGGAACCCGTCAGCGCGCGGAGAAAACCCCACGCAGTGCGGGAGGGCGACGCTCTCTCTATCCCCGTCCAGTCGCACGCACGCACGTAGAACTTATTTCCCACCGTCCGCAGCCAGCATGCCCGCCGCCTTCTTCCCAGGCTACGGCGGCGCCTCTTCGACATCCCCCGGCGGGAAGGGAGCTCGCGCGAACGCGCGGTCCGCCAACCCTCCGCGATGTTTCGCCCTGCGCGCAGGCCCCGCCGAGTGGCACAAGGACTTCCAGATCGCCAAAGGGGAGCGGCAGTCGCCCATCGACATCCAGCCGGGCGAGGCGACGTACGATGCCACCCTGAAGCCCCTCTCGGTGATCTACGACCCCGCGTCTGCCCTCAGCATGGGCAACAACGGCCACTCCTTCTCCGTGGAGTACGACGACTCCGGCGAGAAGTGCGGTACGTGGCCGACCGATCGGGCGGGGGGGGGGGGGGTTGGTCAACGGCGTTTTATCCGAACCAGTCCCGGGCATCACCTAGGTCGACTCAGCCTCAAAATGAGTGTTTGGCTGCTGTGTGTAAACGTCGCCACTGCTGTGGGAGACAAAGGCGGCCGGGCGTGGTGCTGCTTGCCCGGCTCCCCACCCCACTCCCTCGCGTGCCGTGCCGGCCTTCGCAGGCGCCAACTCGCTAATGGCACGGAAGGGGGGCATCTTTGTCTTTGCCTTTGCAGTGTTGAGTGGGGGGCCCCTGCCCAACCCGTACAAGCTGAAGCAGTTCCACTTCCACTGGGGGGCTGCGGACGGCAGTGGCTCTGAGCACACCGTGGCCGGCAAGACGTACTCCGCTGAGGTCAGGGGTCACGCGCGTGCGTCCCTCTGCCGGTGCTGGACTTCTCGCCCTCCGTGTCTTTCGCTCAAAAGAACTTCGATAATCACGGGCGCTTAATTGTGTCGTGGGGGGGGGGGGGGTGTTAGTCACCCCCACGAGTACCGGTGATTGTCAACAGGGGGTACGCGGACCCCCCGTGGGGGTACGCGTGGCAATGTCCCAAGGGGGCGGGAGTGTACGTGGGGTGATTTATAAATGTGTGGAATTATATCATACGCGAGAGTCATTGGTGAATAAATCCGCGTTGTGTGAATCTGCCAATGTAAAATAACTACAATAAAATGTTACTCCACGCGGTAACCTAGAACGTTATAAAATACATTTCTAAACTCACTGATCGTAAACAATGCGGTTGCCAAGAGTCACCAGCGAGCGTGAACAAATTACGCGACGCTCATTTGTTTCATTTGCTTGCGGTTTACTGAGCTAGTTAGGGATATGTCTCGGAAAATTGACAATTGGTAAAAATAATATTGACGTTAATTATTCACACATTTATTTATCGGAACGATGTTGGGTCAGGCAAGGAGGGCGTGGGGGGGGCGGTGCTTGGTTGAAACAAAATGCAACGGGGGGGGGGGGAGGTAAGGTAGTCGCCAAACAAGTTTGAGAGCCACTGCTCTAGAGGCAATGCGACTCTTGAGTGACGCTTCGTTCACATTCGATCATCCTTACCCAGAGTTATTGTGCGCCCCTCCCACCCCCGCCCCTCGCATGCCCAAAACATAAAAACAATTTAAAAAAATTTAGAACAATATAAAAAATAATATAAAAATTCTACTTAGATAAAAATTATAATATGAAAATAACATGAAAATTATATAAAATGTATAATATCAAAATAATAGAATAAATTATTAGTAATATGAACATTTATAATATTAAATTGATAATTTTAAAAAATTACGTAATAAAAAAATTACGTGAAAATTATCACGTAAAAATGATAATATAAACATAATCAAAAAATTATACGACAAATTCTAATATCAAATAATATAAAAATGACAACACAATAATTATGCTGTAATAATTAAAACAATAATGAATGACATCATTGTTGTCGCCCCTACTGTTGTTGTCCGCGCCGTGCTGTAAAGCTGCACCTCGTCCACTGGAACTCGGCCAAGTACAAGAGCTTCGCGGAGGCGGCCAACAAGAGCGATGGCCTCGCCGTTCTGGGCGTCTTCCTCGAGGTGAGTTCCGTTGTGTGGGGAACTTCCTTCCAGACGTCCGCAGCACCAACATCATCACCACCACCACCACCACTATCACCACTATCACCAACACCATCATCACCACCACCACCACTATCACCAACACCATCATCACCACCAACATCACCACCACCACCACCACTATCACCAACACCATCATCACCACCACCACCACCACCACTATCACCAACACCATCATCACCACCAACATCATCACCACCACCACTATCACCAACACCATCATCACCACCACCACCACCACTATCACCAACATCATCATCACCACCACCACCACCAACATCATCACCACCACCACCACCACTATCACCAACATCATCACCACCATCATCACCACCACCACTATCAACAGCGCCGGATTAAGCTAGTGCGGAGGCCTGTAAGCATGATGTTATAAAGGGGCCCTAAATAAAATCACACACAAATATAGAAACACGCAAATGTTTTACTTGCGTAGTAAAGTAATTGTATTTTTTCATTTGCTACACAGCCAGATAATACGACAAATCGCTCACCTTAAACACCCAGTCGTTAATAAAAGTTGAAGGTGGTATAGTACTATAGTAATAGAGCAAGTACAGAATCACTGAACCGGAACTGATAGCTTGAAAGCATTTAGCGCGGGGCCCTTGAAAGTGCGGGGCCCGTAGCTACTACATATGTAGCTGCTTTTGCGACTAGGATAATCCGGCACTGGCCATCAACGTCAACATCCTCCATTTCCTCGACATCACCGGCATTGGCATTTAGCTCCTGAACATATTTCCGCTGCCATAAAGAGCCGAGCCAGGTGATGTATCAGCAGCCCGTGTCCACCACGCCACAAGTCCATGTTGTCCTGCATTCCTCCGCTCTCCGCCCCCTGATGTCGTTCAAATATTTTCTCACGTCCGCCGAAATTCCTGCTCATTTGTAAAAAAAATATATATATTAAAACCCATGCCTATTCTTTTTTAAAAATACAAATCGTTTCACCTTTGACACTCATCCCGCCAGCAAAAGTCGTCTGCGGTACCCACTGTGGCTGCTGGTGAGGATGAAACCGTCTTTCGTAACTCATACAATCTGGGAAAGATACGTGCTCGCGCGTGTTCCCAAGTGCATTTCCAACTCGAGCATTTGCATTTTCTCTCGCCTTCTCTGTGATTGGTGGAGTAGGCTGGTGCGGAGAACCCTGGTCTGAAAAAGGTCACGGACACTCTGAACATCATCAAGAGCAAGGTGAGTGACGAAGAATATCGGGCTCAACCGCCGGTGCTCTCAGCCGCTAACGGTTCAAGCGGCCTCGCTGCAACACCGCCAACCCACATCGTCTCCACTCCCCTATCCATGCACTCTGCGAGCTCTCCCATGTCACCGCTGGGGTTCAGCCGCCTCTAGGTGTCCTACATCACGGTAAGGTCAAGCAAAGATAGAGGCGCAGCCCTGCAATTGCTTGCTCACGCCACTGCTGGTTGAAGGCCTTCCACTCGAATGAGCTCTCGAGAGCCGCCTCCAGAGGGTATTTGGCCTACTCCTCCACACATTTTGAAAAAAACGGTGGAAGTGCCCACACTTTACCCCACCGCAGGCGGCCCGCCGATCGACTTTGATAACCATGGACGAGACTGCTTCCCGCAGACGGACAACACAGCGCGCACATTCACACAACCATTTAAGCAATCGTGACTGCAAGGCCATCGAAACCACTTGAACGTAAACTCACAAACTTCTGCGGGGCAAATGACATTGGCTGAAGTGACGTGTTGTATGTGTGTGTGTTGTATGTATGTTATGTATGTGTGTGTGTTATATGTGTTAGGTGTGTGCTATGTTGTGGGGAGTGGTAGTTTAGCGGTACGCGCTAAGCTGCATTTCTAACGCGACGACCCGAGTTCGATTCCCGCTCACAGCCACCGACACCAGTGACGATAATCTGAACTGGTCCTGGGCCTCACCTAGGTCGAGTCAGCCTCAAATGAGTACCTGGTGCGGTGTGTAAACATCGCCACTGGGGAGACAAAGGCAGCCGAGCGTGGTACTGGACACCCACCCCCTCGTGTACCGTTCCGGCCTTCATAGGTGCTCGCTAACAGCACTTGCCCCTACAGTCTGTTAAGGCTATATGGGGGATCTTTATATATTTTTTTGCGTGTTTTACCTGCGCCGTGCTGTCAGGGAGCCAAGGTGGACTTCCTCGACTATGACCCCTCGGTTCTCCTGCCCAAGTCACTGGACTTCTGGACCTACCTGGGCTCGCTCACGACCCCGCCGCTCTTCGAGAGCGTCACCTGGATCGTGTTCAAGGAGCCGATCTCCGCCAGCAAAGAGCAGGTGAGATGGCGGCGTCGCTCGCCAGAGTGTGCAGGCGGTACAACTGCAGTTACGGTGTGTCCCCCCACCCCCCCCCCCCCCCCCCCCCCCCCGTGTCTTCGATCGCCGTCCGTGTATGCGTCTCTGCCCTGTGTGCATTCGCTCACCCATGCGATTCCCCTTCTCTGTCGCGAAGCAATTTCAAGTACGCATCCCCTCCACGCTTCTTTGGGCGCTTTTCAGTTTCGTTCATATTTTTTTGTTTCGGTTAATGACCTGGGGTGTTTCTGAACCAGGTAGTGTTTCGTCATTCACTCCTTTTTTTTCTAAGTGTCCTTCTCTAGGCGCACTTGGGGAATGTTGCTTGTCATTATCAAGCTCGGCTTTGCGGTGGAAGGGTGGTGACACTCAGAATCAGAACATTTATTTATAATGCAGGAGGAATCCGATGTACTATGAAGCTCTTTTTCAGGGGCGGGTCAAAACGTTACAACAACAAACATTACAAACGCATGATAGTAGTGCAAAGTACAAAAAAGTTAAACAAATCACACGTACAAACAAAACTCAACCATCCCCATCCTACCAGGCAAAGCCCACTGAGGTATTCACTTTTCAGAAGCGACCTGGCCACAAATGATAGCTCAACAAAGTGGCCCATCATTTGGACATTTTTCGCACCAAAATAATCTGAATACATCACAGCAAGAAGTACCTGGGTTCGATTCTCTGTGTGCAGTTTGTATGTTCTCTCCCCCTGCTTTTGCTTGGGTTTTGCTTCGGGTTCTCCCATTTTTTTTATTTTCTCCCAAAACAAAAAAAACACACAAACCACAAGTGCCATCGGGTGCTGGCCAATATGCCAATGTAGCAGGACCCTCCTGAAAAAAAATCCGTTGGACTCGGTGTAGATTTTCCTGGGTAAACAGGTAATTATTATTAGCTGCAAATCTAGAGGTAATTATTATTATTCATTGCGAACGCACTCAAAGCTGCTCGTCTCCACCTTTTTGTTTCATCAAACAAAAACTAAACTAAAAGTTTTATATGACCAGTTAAGACCCACTGACCCGTTTTTCAGAAGCGACCTGGCCGGCAACGAATGATAGCTCAACGAAGTGGCTTATCATTGTGTGGAAAATAAAATGATAGCAGCCAAATACTCTAAACGCGTGACGTTGATTCTAAACCTGGAGGGGAAAAACCAGAGAACCCGGAGAAAAATCTACGCGACCACGGGGAGAGAGAGGGACACGCAAACTCCAAGTTATACAGGCGCCAGGGTCGGGATCGAACCCACGAACCTCCTGTATACCCTCTGTCTCTCGATGTCACTGTTGGGTTTTCTTTGAGACGTGTTCCTTTTGTTGAAGAGAAATTGTACGCTAGGTCGACCGTTGTCATCGTTCCAGACGCAAACAGAAACGAGAGCAAGAGGATTAAAAAAAAAACTTTCCAAGGTACCGCGGCTTTTTTTTGTGAGCGTGGCTAATAGCCGTGGGTCGAGCGACCGCACAGCGGGGGGTGGAGGCCCGGGAAATAAATAGTGAATCCCACCACAGATTGCATCGCCAGATTTCATCCAATTGCATCACTGTTCGTAATTGCGGTGCTTTATTAACACTCGGATTAGAGAACCTGAGCAGGTTAATGACTTCATTCTCAGCGGTAATAGTAAGAGGCTCGTAATTGGAAGGTTTCCAATTCAAATCTATGGTTGGGGGCATGGGGTTGACTCAGCCCATCATCCATCCGGGGTCGATAAAATTGCTACCAGTTCGTGGGGAAGTTAACAATGGTTAACCTTACGATAGACTCGCCTCTCGCCACCATAGGAATGTGACTTTTCCACGACCGCTGGCTCAGGGCTGTACGCGGGAGACAAGCACCACCTCAGTGCTCATATGAGCGGGAAATCACTTTGACTTTAGAAACTCACGCGGTCGCCCTTGCTGTAATTTTTTTTTTGTCGCCGTTCCAAGCGAGCCATCGGAAGGCGTGAGAGGTGAACGTGCGGGCGAGCTCAGGTGGCCCGTGATTTATCTTTGTTTTGAATGGAGCAACAAGTGAGCCGTGGCTCCCCTGAGTGGTTTTCACCGCGAGTCGCTGAAAAAAAAGCCTCAAGTGCACAGCCATTACCGGCCGCACGTCGCTAATAATATTTTAGTGCCCCCGTAAAGCCGTGCTGGGCACACTCGCGGACAATAAAGGGCACGGCCCGTGCGGTAAACCAACAGGCTAATGGGCAACACGTGAAACTCACGCAAATACAGATGTTGTCCTCCCTCCGCACGGTTGGCTAGTAACGGTGCGAAATAAGTTCAACATCCATACGGTCGCGGTGGCGCAGTGCTTGGCGCACACTGCACTACGAACCCGGCAACCTGAGTTCGATTCCTTGGGAGTGGCTAACATCGCAGAGCGAGTGACAGCTCAACCGGTCCTGGGCTCTCCCCTTTTCATTAATCCGTACTGATCAGCGCGGTGAAGTATGGTCAAATGAACCTCCCGCATACATCGTACGGCACGGAGAGTCCTTCGTCAACCAAGGAGCCTAGTCTTTTGGCGTCATCTGGTCCAACACCAGTGGAGACTGGGCTCTAAGAAAAGCCGTCTCGGGTGTGGACCAATCAAATTCAAAGATAGTGCATATCATTATCAGAGTTGTCTCTTTTTGTTTGCATTTTTGACTGCTTGTGTTGTGGTTATTGCAAACATGATCCCTTGTATAAAGATGTCAGTTTTTGTGCCAACTAAAAGGGTAAAACCCTATTACTAAATAGACTTTTTAATAAATGTTTTCTCCTACATTAGTGCAGCGCCACATTAAATACGCACTACAATGGCAATAGTTTAAAGCGATTTGAAGCATGTTTTATTTGGGGGGGGGCAGAGCTTTGTGATGTCATATTTGAGGGGGGGTCTGACTTTTTGTGACGCCGTGTGACGAGGGGGGGGGGGGTCACAAAATCGTCCAAAATCGTTTGACGTCATTTATGGACGTTGTTGTCATATTCTTTAACCAATCAGATTTCGAGTTTGCCATGTTGGGCGTATTCTTTGACACGCCGGAGCCTTCTAGCTGGCCTAGCTGCCTACGTCAGCATTTTTAGTGTGGCGTGATCGGAGGGCCAGTTAGCTTACTGAAGTAAAACTAGCTAGCACGTAACGTAGCATCATTTAAGATTAATTAAACTTTCTTTCGTTACGTTTAGATGTAGTGCCTTAGATTTTTTTGTTGTATTTTTCTGTGGGGAAGCCTTTTGAATCCTGATTGTGTTGTGTTTTACGGCATTTTTGCTTGCTTGGTGGTCGTATGAGTAAATGCGACTGGTTGTTGTGAGTTTATTCTTGTTTCTTTGGTAATGACATTGATTTGGCCTATGCGATGTCTATTTGTGATGCAGCATCCTGTAATACTGCGTAATAGTAGTACATCCTTGATGGTTTCAGTCACCAATGTATCCATGTCTGCAATTAGTGTATTGTAACTCTCACAGGTGTTGAGCCTCGTGTTAAATCACTTTATTCCACTCGATAAAGGTTACCGTCATTGTGGATATGGGGTGGTTACGTCGAATGACAATAGCCTGTAGCCCTAGTGTCATGGTGAGGTTATTCGAAGGCGGTTTAATTGCGGGAGGATAGCACTGAAGGCCTAGGTGTAAAATACACGGCCCGCCATTGGTGTAGGCCAATCATTGCAAGGACAATGCTTAACATTGTTATCAAAGCTTGTCTGCTTGCATGTTTGACAAGGAGCACGTGTGGTTGATGCAGACTTGATGCCTTGTGATGGGTGTCTATTTGATGTTTGAACATCTTAACACCACCCGTTTTCTTGCCGGGAAGGGTAAAGCCTATTATTTTTTCATCAATGTACAGTCATTAGTAAATGGGATGAAACTGGATTTGAACCCAGGAATGTAGATGTGCAGGCTCAGTGTCCTTACACAGGATTAGCCTTCTAACACACCCAGCCACCTCCACACATATATATGAAATATACGTGGTGATTCATATATTTAATCACATGTCAACCACTAATATACGCCACTTCTTTGACTGCATTACCCAACAATTACAGGGCGGAACAAAGTATGCATCATTACCACGTACAACGATTAACGTACGTGTGTAGTAGTGTAATCTAAGATTACCCTACATACACTATAAACGTGTACCTTAATACACTAAACTAAAAACTTTTTTTTTATTTTACCAGGTAAGGCCCATTGAGCAATACAGCTCTTTTTCAGAAGCGACCTGGCCACAAATGATAGCCCAACGAAGTGGCTTATCATTTGGAAATTTGTAGGAGCCAAATACTCTAAACGCATGTTTCGAAGTGTGGAGGGGAAAACCAGAGATAAATCCACACGACAACAGGGAGAGAGACATGCAAACTCCAAATATACAGCAGGCGTCAGGGTTGGGATCAAACCCACGACCTCCTGTATACCAGGCAAGGTAGTTAACATCTGAAACAGCCATTTAGGGCGTGTGCCATTGTGATCGCAGAGGAGTCTCCCAAGCCTCAACGTATTACGATTTACTTTATTTATATCAATCGAATGTTGAACTTCTTTTGCGCCATACGTAGCCAACCGTACTCATCTGAGGTACGGGGGAAGGACACCAAACTAAACACAAAAGGCTGTTTTAAATAAACGAGTTTTGACCATACCTCACCACGCTGGTCAGTGCGGGTTGGTGAAGGGAGCAGCACATTTTGATTCGCGTCTCGCTGAAACGGTCACCGCATTGCTCGGCGCTTTTAGATGCGCTTCTACGACCGTCTGGAATGCTCTTCCGATATTAGGAAGCCACTGGAGTTATGCACTTTTTAATCATCTAGATTGAAAACTCATTTGTGTATAACTGCTTTTTGTGTTTAGTTCTTTGTCTCCCCCCCCCCCGCACCTCCGATTAGTACGGGTGGCTACGTACGATGTAAAAGAAGTTCAACATACATACAAACGTCCGTCCGTGCATCCGTGAGAGGGCACAGGAAGGTCGCG